CTTTAGTCCTCTCCAGACCGCATAGAGCTCCATCTCAAGTACCGGATTCTTCTGCGCTCTTCCCCTGGAAGGGTATGGAAAGCAGGCGATTATTCCAAAGTGTCTTTTGGTTCGTTGGACTGCTGCAAAAGCGTCGCTCTGTTTTCTGTGTCACTGGCATCGGCTGTTTGGAAGACGGCTTCGTCAAATTCAGGGAGCGCGAGTACCAGACAATGTCAGGTGTCTGATGAGGTTTTCCTCAGTTCCTTCTTCCGCATCTCTCCAAAAAAGTTGTTTGTACTTCTCTAGTTGATTCTGTAGAGTGATGGGAAGGCAAGCGAACATGGGTATAAACTTCGGTTAGGACAACGCAAAAACGAAGGACTCCTAAGCGTTCGTGCGAGCAGGTAGGAGAAGCGGCTACCTTCAAATGCCCTCTTTCTTGTTGGAATCTAGCTTGACTCCTGCTGCAGCGATACAAAACTCTGGCCATCTAAATGCTAGCATGAAAAACGAATGCCTGAGTGCCTTTTCAAACCACTGCACCTCGCGTAACAGTGGCACGGTACGCTGCAGGTGTGCAGATGCTCCTGCACCCTCCGGCTGACAAGGAATGTCGTGCTTGAATGTAGTCACCCATCCCTTGTAAACTGGTCTTCAGAAATCTTGATGAGGTTGGCAGACCAATTCACGAGTTTAAAGGGAACGCACGTGTACTCCAGTTTGAAGTGTCACTATGGGATGTACTCCTGTCCCTGTCGTCCGACTCTTCTGAGGTTTTCTAAAACACGCCAGAAAAAATGAAAGGGGGATAGAGTGCTGAACCATGCAAGCGGCTAAGCAGTGCGTTTTTGCCTGAGCCATCGGGAACTTCTGCTTCTCCGTGATTTCGTTGTGGGGCTTGCAGTCGGCGCGCGCCACCTCCTGCCCTTGTACTGAGCGGGGTTGTATTCAAAACGGTTGAGGGTGATGTGGTGAACTGGCCCAACATAGACGCTTTGCATGGTCGTAATATGCCCACTCCTGAATTGGGCTCTCAGTGTATGCCCTTAGCTACACCGGTTGTCGTCTCCCGTCTGCCACCGGCGAAACTTTGTCGCAGAAACTGCGCCAATAAGTAAACTGAACTACACTTCCTTGCCGTAGCCTTCGATACCAGGTCCACTTCGTCGCCTGTGTCTAGTAGTGCAGAGTTGACTTGATGCGGACTTGAGGGAGCGGCTGTCAATTTCAGCACAATTATGCCGGACGTCGCCTTGGGTCACGGCGTTTCCTTGATCGCTTTGCCTGCTCTTGCGAACTCGGAGGTTGCCCCTGGCTTGCTGGGAGGCGAATTATCCAGCTGCTGCGTATTGCCGCTTTTCATCTTCTTTTGGTCGGGGATGTCACTGACAAGCCCGAGAACCACAGGTTCAATATCCGGCTGACTTCAGGCACTACTAGGGGGAGCGATAGTTCGCTACTTCTGCCTAGGGCCGTCGCGAGCAGCACACCCGCCACACGCCTCCATCTATTACTTCCTAAAAGACATCTGTTTTGTTCTCCGGTGCACAGATGTTTTGGGTACAGCGACATAAGGGTACCGGGGTGGAGAAGTGGAGGCGGCCGGAGACGAGTTGCGAGGGCCTCGCAGCAACCAATGCTTTTAAGGCCCCTTAACGTGCAAGTACAACAAAACCCCTCAATCCCCATGTTACTGTCTGCGCTAACAAGGTAGACAATCGTTGTACTTCTACTTGCTTGCAGGCTGTCTACTATGCGGAAGTAACTGTTCATCTACTAACACAGAGCATATGCTGCAGTAGTTTAGCAAAATAGCATAAGAGTCGTACGCGGCAGCAAACGAATAGAGTAAAATTGAATAAATGTTCGTTGAGGTGACCAGAAGGTGACTTGTTGCTCATTATTTCAAATAAATTATACCTAAAGACAACCTTAACTTCTTTTTTAAACGGACATCAGACAGCAAGAGACCCGCAACGCTAACTGCGGGGCACTGCTCAGGTGGGGCGTGGGGGGTTGTACATTTTATGCAGCGCTGCTTCAAGCATTAAGAGGCAGCTTTCCTGTTATTTGGATATAAAATGCAATTAATATCATTTAAAAGACCTAAAAAGCAGAAAAACTTTTCTTTTAAACACCTCTTCTCTAGTGCAACCCTAGCTGCCCCGCGCAGCGTGTACAGCCAAACACCGACGCGGCCGCAGAGCCGCACGGGTGTGCATATAGAGGAGTTGGTTAGGCTAAAAGGAGAAGAAAAAAAGGGAAAAATACGAAGAAGAGAATTAAATAACAATTTAACAATTAAATTCGTGAAGCTGAGCCCTTCTGAGCAGCTGCTGGACACCAACAGCAACACCGGTTACTGCAGCAGCAGCAGTTTATCACCCAGCTGCTGCAGCAGCAGCAGCAGCAGCACACCCCTCTAGCAGCAGCAGTAGGGCTGCGCTGCTGGCCACGAATCTAGCGCAGTATGGGCCTCGTTGCGGTGCTTGTGTTGTTGTTTTGTGCTATTTTGCTGCTGGAGTCTAGAGAAAGATTCTCTTTGCTTGCTGCTCTTGCCCTAAGAACCGGAGTATTGCATAATACCCCTTGTACTGCTCTCTAATTGTTGGGTTGCCTGCACCTGGCCGTCTGTCTCGCCTTCTGTCTCTCTTGTTTCTTGTTTTTACCTCTTCCGCTTTGTTCTCTTCAAAGCAAACCATTTTCTTTGCGAAGGCTGCAAGTACTGCTGCAGCTCCTCTGTTCTACGCCCTGTCCGTTGCTGCGGCCCCCCGCAGCAGCAACAGCAGCAGCAGCAACACAGCAGCGCGGACGGCAGCAGCAGGAGCAGTCGCTGGCCTGGTCGTTTGCTGCTGCAGCGCAGTAACTGCTGCAATATTAACTGCAGCAACAGCGAAAGCTACAACATCAGGAGCTCTTTTGTCTCTGTCTCCCTCACCTCCTCTGTGCGTTGGGGAGCAGCAGCAGCTGCTGCAGTCCGTGGGTTTGTCTCTCGGTTTGCAGCTTCAGCGTTCTTTGCTTTTCTTTTTATTCGCTTAATTCTGTGCGTTGCGATTTGACGGTTTTCGGGCTGCTGCCCTTGGTGCCGCCGCCTCTGCTGCTGCTGCTGCTGCTGCTGCTGCTGCGGCACGTGCTCTGGCCCCCACAACATAGCCGTAGAGCTGGAGCAGACGCTTGCTTTTTGAATTTCTTGCCTCTTCTTTTGTATTGTTGCTGTCTTCGTTGCAACCCGCGAAGATGTCCGCCGGTCATCTCTCCCCTACGCCTGCTGTGCTGCAGCAGCAGCAACCGGGCTCAGCAGCAGCAGCAGCAGTCCAGCAGCCACCGCTCCCCGGTGCGCAGCCGCTGCAGGGTTCTTCGCCCTTAGTAGGCGGGTCAGCGCAGCCGGTTCCATCTCAGCAGCCTCCTCCGCAGCAGCAGCAAGATCCGGCAAATCAGCAGCAGTTGTCGCAGGTGCAGCAGCAGGCAGGATCTCAGCAGCAGCAACAGCAACAGCAGCCACCTCCTCAGCCGTCTCAGCAGCAGGTCTCCACGACGGCTCATACGCATACTCTACCTGTTAGCTCCCACCCGACTTATGTATCTCCGTCTTTGTATATAGGAGATCTACACCCCGACGTTACTGAGGCTATGTTGTTCGAAGTATTTAATTCAGTGGGCCCAGTTACCTCTATTCGAGTGTGCAGAGACAGCGTTACTCGCAGAAGTCTCGGGTATGCGTATGTTAACTATCAAACCTTGCAGGACGCTGAGCGCTCTCTAGACGCGCTTAATTATACTTTAATCAGAGGGCAGCCTTGCCGCATTATGTGGAGCCAACGAGACCCTACCTTACGTAAGAGTGGCAGTGGGAATGTATTTGTTAAGAATCTCGATCGAAGTATAGACAATAAAGCGCTGTATGACACCTTCTCTCTCTTTGGTAATATCTTAAGCTGTAAGGTGGGTGTAGATGAGGCTAACCGCAGTAAAGGATATGGGTTTGTTCATTATGAAAGCGAAGCCTCTGCAAGAAATGCAATTGAAAAAGTTAATGGTATGCTTATAGGCGGAAAGACAGTCTATGTGGGGCCCTTCGTAACGCGTTCAGAAAGAGAAAATGCAAGCACTCATAGATATACAAATGTTTATCTGAAGAACCTCCCTCGTTGCTGGCAGGATGCTGATGCACTGCGCCCTATATTAGAGCCCTTTGGAGAGATTACGAGCTTGTTAGTTAAGCAGGATCCGAAGGGTCGCCTCTTTGCTTTCTGCAACTATGCAGAGCATGACTCAGCAAAGGCTTGTGTACAAACCCTTAATGGGAAGGTAGTTAATTCAGAGGGCTTTAAGGAGACTTCTTCTGCAGCATCGAGCGATGCAGCAGCAGCAACACAGACAACTTCACCTGCAGCAGAAGGAGAAGCGGAAGATGGAGCAGCTAAGACAAAAGATGCAGCAGCTGCAGGAAATACCAACAGCAGCAACAGCACCAACAGCAGCAACGGCAGCAGCACAGCAAACGGTTCAGGCGCCTCAGGAGAGGCAGGGGAGAGCAGCAGCAGCAACAACAACAACAGCAGCAGCAGCAGCGACGAGATGATTCTGTTTGTGGGGCCGCATCAATCGAGGGCCCAGCGTGCTGCAGCGCTCCGCATGAAGTACGAGCAGCAGCAGCAAGAACGAGGGGAGCGTTACAGAGGAGTAAACTTATACGTTAAGAATCTAGATAACTCCGTAGATGATGATAAGTTAAGAGAGTTGTTCGAGCCCTTCGGCCCAACAAGCAGCGTGAAGGTTATGCGCGATGAGAAGGGGGTTTCTAGAGGCTTCGGCTTTGTTTGTTTTGTCTCCCCAGATGATGCAAGCAAAGCTGTAGCAGAGATGCACTTGAAGTATATTAATGGGAAGCCTCTATACACCGGGCTCGCGGAGAGAAGAGAACAAAGACTGCAGAGATTGCAGCAGCGCTTCCGTATGCCGCAGCTGAGGCAGGGAGCTGCTGCTGCAGTGCCTGGGCATGTAAGCTATCCAGGTGCTGCTGCTGCTCTCCCAGGTGTTGCTGCTTATCAGCAGCGAGCAATGATGTACCCTGCACAGTCGCATATGGCTGTCTTGCCGTGGGCCGGCAGGCAGCAGCAGCAGCAGCTCCAGCAGCAAGGGCTGGCGCTGCAGCGGGGCATTCCCCCTGCTGCGCTGCAGCATATCTACGCGCCTCAATCTGCCGTTGCTGCAGCAGCGGCGCTGCAGGTCTCCCTCCAGCAGCAGCAGCAGCAGCAGCCTATCATGCAGCAGCAACGCGGCGCACCTACACACAGAGCAGCACGCGGTGGAGCCGCAGGAAGCGCGAAGCAGCAGCAGCAGCAGCTGCTGAAGCAGCAGCAGCAGCTGCCCGGAGGAGGGTCGTTCAAATTCACTCCTCAGGTGAGGAATCCTCGTGTGGATCAGCAGCAGCAGCCACAGCAGCCGCCACCGCCTCTGCACGTGCAGCAGCAGCAGCAGCAGCCTCTGGAAGCTGCACACGTGCTTCTGTCGCCCGAGGCCCCATTAACAGCAGCAGCACTAGCAGCAGCACAGCCTTCTATGCAGAAGCAAATGCTAGGAGAGAGGCTCTTCCCTCTTATTGCTAGACATCAGCCAGAGTTAGCAGGGAAGATCACAGGAATGATGCTAGAGATGGATAACAGCGAGCTGCTTATTCTGTTAGAGAGCGAAACGCAACTAAAGAATAAAATTGAAGAGGCCCTCGGCGTACTCCGAGGGGCCAACTAAGCGCCACAACGCATGAAGGCCGCAGCAGCAGCAAGTGCAGCAGCAGCAGCAGCAGCAGCGGCAGCGGCAAGGGCAGCAACAGATGCGAAGCGCGAAGCAGAGGGGCACTGGGGGGACCTTGGGAGCCCTTCTGAGGCCATGTAGTAACTCGTGTTGTCTCCAGCAGCAGCTTCATCAGAGCTTCGCGCTGCTGCAGCAACAGGAGCTGCAGCAGCAACAGCAGCAGCAGCAGGTGCAGCTGCTGTTTAAGAAGGTTGAACCAGAGCCTCGAGACTGGGGGACGCAGCAGTGCTGCAGCAAGAGGCTGCAAAGACAGACAGACAAGCGAATAGGATTTAAAGGAGTGTGAGTGGAGAGGGGCGTGGCTTGCTGCTGCGGCTGCTGTGTTGCAGCAGCAGCAGCAGCCTCTGCATGGATCAATGATCGGGAGACAGACGATGAGGGAGAGGAGGCCTTTGCTGCTGCAGTCTCCTCTTTAGATTTTTGTCTCCTTGCCCTCAGAAGCCAGTGCTGCGCGGCAGCAGGGGCTTCGTTTTCGCTGATAGCAACAGCAGCAGCACTTGCTGCTGCACTAGGGCAGCAGCAGCGGCAGCAACAGCAGCAGCGGCAGGCTATGCTGCTGCTGTCTAGGGTTGCATCTATTTATCTAGAGGTGGGGTGGGGGTATTTAATACAAAAAAAAAGAAAAAGCAAAAAAACAAAAAAGAGACAAACTTTATTATGGCCACCTTCAATCGGTACAACAAGCAAGAAGGTGTAGACACACTGAGACATAGAGTATAATTTTAGAGAGAAATAATATAATAGATGAGTAGAGAAGATAGCGTAGACAGAGACAGACAGGGAAGGAAGGTAAAGAATGCAAACAAAGAGGTTAGGAGGAGGAAGGAGACGGAAGAAGTCTGCAAACAGCAGCAGATGAACAAGCAGATACTACCGATAGCAGCAGATATACACAGAAACAAGTGAGAGACAGCAGGGAAAAGGCTACAGAAACAAAAGCAGAGAGCGTCAGTCGCTCGTTGTCGCTGGGGGCTCTCATTTATCTGTCTTCTTTCTCTTGCACTCCAATCATGTCTCTAAAAACATATATATACAACGGATGGTGTGTGCTTCTGCTCTTGTCTGTGTTCCTACCTCTATACTATATGCTCTCTCGTATCTGTCTTACTGTCTCCTAGCCAGAGACAGCTGCCGTTTGCGTTGGCTCTCCCCTGTCTCCTCTATGCACTGAACTCTTTATTCTGTATCATTCATCAGGTGTCTCTCCTCTTGTCTCGCTGTTGCTGTGAGTCGCTCACTTCCTCCTTGCTGCTCTTTCACTGCTGCATGCCTTCCCGTACTGTTGCTCTGCTGCTGCTATGCGTATCTATCTACAGGATACAGCTTGCCTCCCTCTCTAAACCCTAAACCCTAATATAAACCTAAACCCTGCCTAATATCTGTCCGTCTCTTTCTCTGTGCTAATTCTTTTCCCAACGCCTCTGAAGATTTAAAACATGCCAACCTCCCCGTCCTTTAAATAACAAAATAAGTTAACTAGCTAGCTAGCTAGCTGGGTAGCTAGCTGGTTAGCCAGCTAGCTTGCTAGCTAGATAGCTAGCTGTTAGCTTGCTGTTGTTGGGTGTAAGATAGATATATCAATGTGTGGATGAATGCATTTAGTAGATGTATTTCTTTTCATAGAGAGAAGCGGCAGCCTCTGCTCCTCCAGCACCTCCTGCATACTTGCCGAGCTGAGCATCGCTGTTTGCCTTAGCCCTCTGAAGGAGTGTCTCTTGAGCTGCCTGCTTGTTCTCACTCTTTCCAGACCAGCGCTTTAAGCAAGAGGCCTGAAGAGCTCTTCCATAAGAGAAGGAAAGCTTCCATGGGTGGGGTCCCATACGGTTCATTGCATCTAAGTTAAGAGAAGCTTCTTCTTCAGACTGGCCTCCAGAGAGGAACATTACTCCAGGTAGAGCAGGAGGGACAGTGCGAGAAAGAGCACGGACGGTGAAGAGAGCAATCTCTTGAGGAGTGGCCTTAGGGCCCTGAGCACCAGGAGTAACCATGTTAGGCTTCAACAGAGCACCTTCTAGCAGCACCTTCTGTTTCTGCAGCTCTCTGAATACGTGAGACAAGACGCGCTCTGTAACAGCAGCGCAGTGGCGGATATCATGAGATCCGTCTGTCAAGATCTCAGGTTCTACAATGGGAACCAGCTTGTTCTTCTGGCAGATAGCAGCATAACGTGCGAGACCATAGGCAACTTCAGAAATAGATTGCTCGGAAGGCTTGCCCTTCGCTTCATCGATCTGAAGCACAGCTCTCCACTTTGCGAAGCGGGCTCCAGCCTCGTAGTAGCGCTTGCAGCGCTCGCTCAATCCATCAAGACCCATTGTTGCTTGCTCCCCATCTGTGCAGGGGATCTCTTCCAGACCCTTATCTACCTTAATACCCGGAATGATGTTCTCCTTCTTCAGAAGCTCAACCATAGGAACTCCCTCAGGGCTCTTCTGGTACAGAGTCTCTTCAAACAATATCGCACCGCTGCAGTACTCACCCAACCCCTTTGTTGTAAACAACAGACCTCTGTAGAATGCACGATTAGCCTCGGTGTTCTCTACTCCAATGGAAGCAAAACGCTTTGCAATTGTGCCTATAACAAAACATACAGCAGCATCGGCAGCAGCACTTGTACTTCAATGCTGCAAGCTCTAGCACCCTAT